CGGGGCCCGAAGCTGAAGCCGCCGAGGCCGAGGCCGCCGGAGCCGAAGCCGGGCCTCCGAGGTTGCCGCCGATGAAAGGGCCGATGAAAGGGCGGAACCGAGGCCGCTGAGGCCGCCAGGCCGTCGCCGCGGCCGCTGCAGCCGCCGAAGCCGGAGCCGAGGCCGCTGGGAAAGCCGGGGCCGCCGAGAAAGAAAACGGCGAGCGGCCCGCGGCTATCTTCTCCCCCTCCCGGAAAACTCACCAGGGAGGGGGCAGATCCTCTGGCTCCTCGGGGGTCTCTCCTCTGGCTCCTTTGGGGGTCTCCGAAGCCCCCCCTCTACCCTTCTTCCACTCCATTTGTGCGGAGCTAAAGGGCAGCGTCCACCATCATGCAGACATGCGCAGAATATCTTGCTTTTGATTTCTAAAATTTTATAACCTTTAGTATTGGTGAGCCCTGTTGTAATTGTTATGCAGTGTTTTTCTATAAAATCTATGGTCCTGGGTAAATGTCCCAGAAGACAGATAAGAAGTTCCATTTCTAGGAGAGAAGCAATAGGAAGCTCATCTCATTGATATGATAAAACAATCAAATGCAAAATATCAATGCTATTGTAATTATTGATATATTACTTTGGAATGATGGTTTCAATACATCAGGGTCTCCAAGCTGAGGGTCATCTTTCTATCTTACTTAAAAAAACCCTTCAATTTAAGAATATAAATTAGTTATTCATGACATTTTTGTGACACCATTTTTTCCTCTGTTCAGTTGTGTCTGATTCTTGGAGACTGCCAGGACAAGTCTCTGCAGTTTTCTTGGCAAGTTTTCTTTTCCCAGAACTGATTTGCCATTGCCTCTTTCCTGGGGCTGAAAATGAGTAGCCCAAGGTCACCCAACTGATTTGTGCCTAAGATGGGATTAGCACCTGTGGTCTCCTGGTTCCTAGTCTAGTCTTATCCATCTAGAAAACTTGTGTGCCTTTATACATCAATTTGGATAGTTTGTACTATTGTACAAAGATTGGATCCTACCATTTCTATATAATCTTGTTTGTGGAATGTTTGGAGTTGTTGGCAGGTTCTTGAGTGCAGACACAGTGATTGTTGTATTCTTTGCATGCCAATAATAAATTTTGTTACAGATCTCCAATTGCTTTCATTCTTTAAAATGGTAGCTAAATTTTCCATAAAATTCCTTTGGATTTTTTTTTTTTGGGGGGGGAGGTCAACATAGATTTTTTTTTTTTTTAAAGAAACCTTCTTCTTAGCATTATTCCCACATTATGGCAGGATCCACTTTAAAAAACTCAATATATATATATATATATATACATACATACATACATACATACATATATTGAACTCATTCCAAATTACAAACTATAGGAGAATGTGTACATGTCAGAAGCATAGAAATGCCTATGTTGTATTCCTAAATTTATTTATTTTTTTAAACTGAAGAATAAATTCCATGTTATGGGAAAAGGAGTTTCCATTCAATAGCTATGAGACTTGATGCTGCAACCAATAACAGATGAATGTAATGCATTTAATAATGCAAATCGCCAATTTCTGCCATAATTCAGATGGAGAAAAAAAACTGCTATTGAAACATCAGAGTAATAATACTATAGCTGGCTGAAGAAAAGGGAAAAAATATGCAACATTGCTATGGCAATATCATCAATTGTACAAAACCACAAACAAGATATGATACTGTGTGCAGAACTCATGTTATATACCCAATGGTTTTCATATTTCAAAATATGTTTTTAAACAATGGAAATATTCTTAGTGGTCAAGAGGAGTTTAATGAATTATGTCCATCCATCCTCACTTCAAGAAACAGCAATACAAACTACACAAGACTGGATCAATTACACATTGAAAACATACATTCTTTATTTAGGCAATTGAATCTGGTTTTCTTGATGAAGATGCTTGTTTTATTTTAGCATGAACTTCTGCAAAATCAGAATATAGTTAATTAGTTTAATTAAATCTAAACTAAATATGACTTTTTATGGGGGATGAAAAGGAGCCTTATTAGAAGAAAGATATTTCCTTAGTGCTGTTTTGATCTGTTTATTTCTCAGACTGTAGATGATTGGATTCATCAATGGTGGAACCACAGAATAGATTGCAGAAGCTACCAAGTTAAGACTATGTGATGAGTTTGAGATAGGCTTCAGATAAGCAAATGAAGTCGTAAAAAGAAATAAGGAGACTGCCAGGAAATGTGGTGAACAAGTGGATATGGTTTTCTTCTTTCCCTGCATGGAGGGGATTCTTATCACTGCTCTGAAGATTTGTGCATATGAAAAAATTATGAAAGAAAAGCTTATGAATGATAAACATGCACCAATGAGGTGGACCACACTTTCAATAACATAACTATCAGAACAAGATACCTTAAGTAACTGTGGGATTTCACAGAAAAATTGATTAATGACTTTTGAACAGAAAGTCATTGTAAAAGTGCCAACAGTGTGCAACAGTGCATACAAAAGAGCAGCAATCCATGAACTGACTACCATATGGATACAAGCCTCCTTATTCATCACAGTTTCATAGTATAAAGGACTACAGATGGCAACATAGCGATCATATGCCATTACAGTGAGGAGAGCAAAATCACTTGCCATGAAGAAGATCAGGAAAAATACTTGGCTGACACATTCTGAATAAGAAATCCATCGTGTATTGAAAAGTGAATTGAATATAGATTTAGGAATAGTGACAGAAACAAACCCTATATCTGCAAGAGATAAATTCATCAGAAAGAAATACATGGGTTTATGGAGGTGGCATTCAAAACCTATGGTAATAATGATAAGACTGTTCCCCACCAGAACTCCTAAATATATGGCAAGAGAAATCACACTATATATAATCTGAAGATTTCGTATTTCAGAAAACCCAAGAAGGAGAAATGCATTCACTCTGGTTGTGTTGGACATTCCACCTTAATATTCACTGTGGATAAAAGAAGAAATATTAAATAATTGTAAAAATATCTTTATTTGTTCAACATTCTAGTTAATTATCTTCTTTGGCTACAAAGAATAACTCAGTCTAAGTGATTTTATAAACCAGGACTATATTGCATAAGATGAAGCTGTAACTGGTCAGCAGAACTTATGGATGAATGAAGTCCTAAATCAAAGCCAATGAGTCTAATGACATAGTAGACAAATAATTGGATAAATCCAACAAACACAACACTAATAAACAGTCATGGGCACCAGTGACTGGTTCTGTAGAGAAAGATTTTTCCACAGACCAGAAAGCATCCCACGGATGGGGCTTCGCTTGTTTGTGCGGACCAGTTGCTGGCATGCCATGGCCTGGTACTGGTCCACAGACTGGGGGTTGGGGACCCCTATCCTAGGTGAACATGCAGAAGACGGATAAAACAGATCAGCTAAATGTTGATGAGGGCTTATATATTGGGTCTATCATGTACAATAACTATTTTCTCTGTCAACAAACATTACCTAATATGAAAAATATTACAAAATTGCATTCAGTTACTTGAAATATGGAAGTATACATTCAGATGAATGTCAAGATAAGAGCCTGAAGTGCAAATATGGCATGTATTTTTGTCATATGTTTCATCAGAATACATATGAGTTTTGGACAGATATTGAGAATCTGAGGATTATTTGATTTATTCTTGATCATTTTCTGGATCTTTATAAAACTTTTTGTTTCCAGTAATAAAAACAATAAAAACTAAATGTATCATTGTTATGGATTGTAATTGTTTCTAAGGGACCACAGAAGAGAGAAGCAGTTCTTGAAAAGTGAATAAACATGGATAGAATTTCCATATTTATGGAAATCCATATCTGGTCATTGAAGCAATGTATCTTGTATCTATGTCTCTGTCTGTCTGTCTCTCTCTCCATCTCTCCCTCTCCCTAACTTAACAGTTGTTATTCACACATGTCTTGAATAGAATAGAATAGAATAGAATAGAATAGAATAGAATAGAATAGAATAGAATAGAATAGAGCTTGGTAGTCTTCTATTCCAGCCTTTCTTTCTTAGCAAACAATATTTAATTTGCCTGGAACTATTTTGGCTTCTTTCCTTTTGAATATACTCTCTGTATATTTTCTTTTGCCCAATATTGATGAAAATAATTAGAAATATTGTCAAGCTAGGATTTATATTCATAGATTTATACACATAGAACCCTTAGCTCAGAAGAACTGAAAAGTTTAAGTATAAAATTCAGATTCTTAAAAACTGGCTTGGGTATAAACTACCATTAATTGGAACACATTTTTTACACCTTTGAAAATATTTGCAGCTGTAATATAATGTGTACATATAAAACATCACATTATTCATGCTACACAAATGATTGAAAGAAGGAATGGTGGAAAGGGAGAAGAAGAGAATGATATACTCAGAAAGGCAGAAGAAGGAAGAGATGGTAAATTATTAAGGAGAAGAGGAATAAGACTTGGGTTTCCAACTTACAAAAAATGTTTTTGTCATCTCTTTCACCCTCTTTCTTTCTTTACTTAGCAGTTTATAATCACAATTTGTTTCCCTTTTTCCATCCTTCTATGACTAGTGCATATCAAATGGTATATAAATTAAAAAATATCTATCTGACCTTCTAATGCAATATAGCTCTGGGTTTTGTTCAATGATACTGACATTTTTACTCCCTAGAGCTCTGGCTAATTTAGCAAAAATCGATGATAAATAATGGGGATGAAGCAAAAACCATGAAAGAGAGATACTCATTGGTATGAAGGACTTGGATTCATGTGGCCCCTGAAAGCCTTAGCTATGGATCTTACAGCCTCTTCAAAAATTGCCACCAAATTGGGGAAATACCTATTAAACTGTATGGTATTGCATTCAATTAAAGTATATTGTAGCATGTAGTATTTTGTCTTGATCTCTCCTAAAAAATGGAATGTGTTCTTTAAGTGCACCATTTAAAGGTAGAACATGAGGCACATCCTGAAAATCTGTGTTCTGTTTGACAAAGTGGCAAATTAGCTTGCCTAGAAGTTGAAAAGTCTTTCACAATCGCCACCCCCCAATATCCTTTTTTCCTCAAAAATAGATATCTACATGAGTAATTCTATGTAATTAGGATTGTACTATATGCAGAATAAATTATTATTACATAGTAAGTAGAACATAAGCCAGAAGTGTGAAAAAGGTACTACAACAGTCAGCCTTTTTTTAATCTTTTCCCTTGAAATACTTGGAAATTTTACTGTAAAGTGCAACCTCAAACCTGTACTTTTTACATACATTTCTGGGAAAAGTTGTACATTCTTGGTTTAAATATGGAATCAGCTCATGATATTATTTGAGTATGGAAATATATTAGGAGGAGTAATATACCTTTAAAGTTATAGTTTGCTTAATATAGGATTTAATCAATAAGCACATTATTGTTGAATTTTTCCACATTTTCTCAATAGTAATTATATGTGCATGCACTTGAATTTCAGCATTTCCAAATTGAACTTGTATACGTACTTCATTTTGAATTATCTATCTATCTATCTATCTATCTATCTATCTATCTATCTATCTATCTATCTATCTATCTATCTATCTCTGTCTGTCTGTCTGTCTGTCTGTCTGTCTGTCTGTCTGTCTGTCTGTCTGTCTGTCTGTCTATCTATCTATCTATCTATCTATCTATCTATCTATCTATCTATCTATCTATAGATTTTCATGGGTACAGGTATGCAGGTCTTGGCGTATTCGGGTCTTTTCCCATGTAAGATTGAGAGTATCTTGGCAACGTTTCGATGAAGTCCCACTCGTCATCTTCAGGCTGGGGTCTTCGGCTTCGTGCTTGTGCGAGCAAAGTGTGATCGGAGCTGCCGTCTCTCTATAAATATTGGTGGGGGTGTGTGGAGTGCTGGCTGTGTTGGAGTTATTGTTTGCAGATTGTTCGGCTATTTCATAACATCCTGAGTAGCTGAGGTGCTGGCTGTGTGCCCATTAGTCTTTTGTGTTGTAATGACCTGGGTAATGGGCTGTGTGATGACATCCTGAGATCTAGTGTAGTGATATCCTGAGTTCTGTGTTGCAACATACTGGGTGGTTGGCTGTGTTGTAACCTCCTGAGCTTTAGTGTTGTAACCTCCTGAGTTCTGTGATGTGAAGTCCAGAGAAGAAGGCTGTGATGTAACATACCAGGCTTTGGTTTGGCTCCGAGTTTGCGGTCTTGCTCTGTGTTCATGGCGTGTGTCCGTTTGCTTTGTGTGGGGGTCGGAGGGAGGTGCAGCAGCTGGTGATGTCATCATGGTTTGGCTTCTGGATGGTGGTTGCATTTCATCTGAGGGATGGGTTTGGGATTGGGTTTGGGTCTGGTGAGGGTGATGGTGGTGGCGTACTGTGTTGTTCTGGGTCCGCTGTCAGTTTTCGTGGCTAGGACTTGTTTGTTGATTAGGGCTAGTTTCCAGATGACTGGTAGGTGGGAGGTATCGTCACGTTTATTCATGTTGTGGGGGTGTTTTTCTATTTTGATGGCTTCCATAATTATTCTCTTGTTGTGGTGTTCAGTTTTGGAGATTAGTTTGGTTCCTTCTAAAGCTACAGGACATGAAGCCATCCAGAAGCCAAACCACAATGACATCACCAGCTGCTGCACCTCCCTCCGACCCCCACACAAAGCAAACAGACACACGGCATGAACACAGAGCTAGACCACAAACTCGGAGCCAAACCAAAGCCTGGTATGTTACATCACAGCCTTCTGCTCTGGACTTCACATCACAGAACTCAGAAGGTTACAACGCTAAAGCTCAGGAGGTTACAACACAGCCAACCACCCAGGATGTTGCAACACAGAACTCAGGATATCACTACACTAGATCTCAGGATGTCATCACACAGCCCATTACCCAGGTCATTACAACACAAAACACTAATGGGCACACAGCCAGTACCTCAGCTACTCAGGATGTTACGAAACAGCCGAACAATCCGCAAACAATAACTCCAACACAACCAACCAACCCAGCGACAGCAACAAAGCCAGAACTTCACACCCACCCACCAATATTTATAAAGAGACGGCAGCTCCGATCACACTTTGCTTGCACAAGCACGAAGCTGAAGACCCCAGCCTGAAGATGACGAGTGGGACCTCGTCAAAATGTCGCCAAGATACTGTCAATCTTACACGGGAAAAGACCCGAATATATATATATATATATATATATATATATATAGTAAATAATATATATATATATATATATATATATATATATATATATATATATATATATATATATAGTAAATAATATATGAAATATATATATTTCATGGTGAAAATACTATGGGACAAATGCAATGATTGAAAATAAGATCAAGCTTTTGGATAATTTGAAATTCATTCTTCCTTCAAGAAAATAAAAGGTTATAGTTATCCTTTTTCTAAATTAAATTGTTAAATTGTGTTTAAAAAGGAATCAGGTGATAACTACAAAATGCTGCATTAAAAATGACTGAATTTAAAAAAATCATTCTGAGCTATTATGTCATTTCTTTTTATTTGCATTATTCTTTGGAATAACCAGCTATCTGAGAATGTACAGTGGTTATTCTTGGAATAACCAGCTATCTGAGAATGTATAGTGTATCTACTAGTTAGCTATTCCATTCTAAAGCAGGGTTTTTACATAGTCATATTTCTTTTCTTTATCTTTTTAATATTTTAATACTTCTGCATCTCAGATTCTGTTTTCAAAATCAACCCATAGCAGTATATTATATTGCCTGGAAAATGTTATGTGTATCTACATATTCATCTGATTATACTGAAAAACATATTTGCTCTACTTTGCCAAAGATCCGTGTAATAATGTCTCAGATAAAACTGCATCAGAAATATGTTTTGCAGGAAGCTTTATTTGTGTATTTTCAAACAAGACCATTTGAGATATTTATCCAGGAGTTTAAA